GGCAAACGTTGTTTAACCATATACATTATTTCGAGAAGTATGCATGATAATTTCTCGTACTACAATTATTATATTCGCTTGCCATCTTGCAAGCCTATCGCGGCATATAAAAACAGGGGTTGATCGTAAAAGCGTGATAATTTGAATTTGTATGTATTTTTCTATACTAAATCATAATAAAATAAAAATAAAAAATTTTGTCAAAAAAAATTTAGGGGGTGGGTCACTCTTATGAGGGGTATGAAAAATAGATGTTGGCCGATTCTCAGACCTACTCAATATGTACACAAAATTTCATAAAAATCGATAAAGTCGTTTCGGAGGCGTTTGGTAACAAACACCGCGACACGAGAATTTTGTATATTAGATAAGTCCCGGTCAAGTTACTGTCCATACCTTCACTTCTGTAAAAACATAGTTTCAGTGTCATATACTGTCATATGCTCTTTAAAATCGTCATGTCGTATAAGGAGACCCAGCATTTTGCCTCTTCTATTATCTATATCTTTCATCTACAGAGTGCTGAAATATCAGTGAGTAATATAAGCGGTCATTTTCGAAAAAATAAATATCTCTGCAAAAATAACACCGTAGTGTCAAAATTTTGCCTAGTAAAGCTAACATAAAATATTAATTTATCTTTCTATCTACCCGTAGAAAGCCAAGGTGGTAAGTGGTGGCGCTAGTGGTAAAATAAAGAAACTTACACAGAGATATATGAGCCTTAAAACATTACATTCGTTTTTGGCAAACTTGTGACAGTGAATCAGAACGCCTGACTCAGCTTTAATAGCAATTTGGAGCATATTGTGTATACAACAGCTAGGCTAGTAGTATTTTATCAGATTGATGTCACATTTTGTATTATCTCACTAATAAAATAAAATTTTAACTAAAATATGTATGTACATGCTTTATTTTTAAGAAAAAATTATAAAAGATTCCTTAATAATAATCTTATTGATTAAAAATAATAGTTTTAAAGAAAGCAATAGTTTTAAGGAATTTTGTCTGTCTATTTGTACGGATATTTATTTCGGCATAACGCAAAAACATGTTCTATTCTATTAGACTTCATCAAAATAGGCTAACTGACCTGCCTTTTCTTTCTTATCTATCACGCCTCGCTGGTGCCCCGCCAGCGTACACTGTTAGTGCAGGCGATGATACAATTCCATTATCTTTTTTTTTTTATGGGTGAAAATGGTATGGTAACCCCGCCTGCACTAACGGGAGCACCAGTGAAGGGTGATAGATTAGAATGAAAACAGGTCAGTTAGCCCATCATGATGAATTCATCAGGAATTAAGCATGATAGTTTCCAGGGAGAACCGCGAGGAGGTCAACCTGGTTGGGTATATTACTAGTTATGGGATTCTCAGTATCCATTACTAACAATCCCTTTCCCCACACAATTATATCATCCATTAAAACACGTAGGATATTTTATACACTAATTCAAATAAGTGGAAATATCAAGTAAGAAATATGAGTAGAAATTTGGTCAACATAAAACAGCTATCTTGACAAAATTAATATTAATTTGACACTATCCGTCAATTAATATGCGACTACGGGAGGAAACGGTATCGTTTACAAAAATAATCACCATAATCTGTTAAGAATTTATGGGGATTTTGCGAAATGTGAACATAAAAATAGATTTTACAATACAATTGATAAGTGAGTTACTTATTATTTATTTATATTTATAATTTTATTGATCTATATTTTTTATTTTATTTATATTTTTATACAACTTAGAATGGCAAACAAGCTGACGGTCCACCTCATGGAAAATGGTAACCGTCGCCTATAGACATGAGCAGTACCATGGACATAACAGAGTATACTGTTTTGCCCATGATACCCCCCATGCGTTGCCATTCCTGAGGAATCGGGTGTTATTCCTCTGTACCCAGTAAATTCACGCCATATCCCACCCTTCAAACTGAAACACAGCCATGCAAACACAACTGCTTCACGGTTGAAACACGAATGGGACAGAGGAAGCCGCTTGGCTTCCTCTGTCCCATTCGTGTTTCAATCGACTTTTGTACAAAGTTTCCCTCTGATATAAATTATTCGTATTTTATATTGCCTTTAATAGATTATATTGTTGTATTTTGGGAGTATCCTTAATTTTATTTATTTTTGGTTAAATAATATTAAATATTATTGAGTGTTACAATACGTAAATACTATGGCAAAGGTAGCAAATTAAAGAAGAAACAGAAATATATTAAGCAATTGATGCGATCCAACCGTCTAACCAATTTCAACATGAGGGGAAAGGGATTGTTAGTAATGGAGACTGAGAATCCCATTGCTAGCAATATACCCAACTAGGTCGACCTCCTCGCGGTTCTCCCTGGAAACTATCATGGTTAATTCCTGATGAATTCATCATGCTGGGCTAACGGACCTGTTTTCATTCTCATCTGTTACCCTTCACTGGTGCTCCGCCAGCGTATCTCGTTAGCGCGGGCCGAGTTACCTAACATTTTTATCCATCAAAAAAAAAATCAAATTCAACAAAATTTTATGCATATATCTCTACAATAAAATTGGTGTTCAAAAATGGACCTTAATTAAATGTGATAGTTTTTTACAAAAAAAAAACAATTAGTAATATATCACATCAACAGGGGATAATTTCTATTAAAAATTAATATAATTAATTAATAACACCACAAAGAAAAGAACCAGCATATTTGTAAATAATATGGTTTTATCTTAAAAGATAAGGTAGATTTGGAACTGATAAGTGGCGCTGAATTTATATATAATTATGAATTTTACTTGTATAATAAAATTGTGATTAGACAATTCTATACTGGAAGATGTTCTTTCTTTGTCTGTCTGTACGTCTGTATCTTTGTTCTGATATGACGCCGCATCTACTACTACTATTACAACACCAACTTGGATACGGTTTTTATAATTGTGTTCCTAAAGGTCGAACTCGAAATCTGGTACTTGTTTTATCTCGATACGCCATCAAAAAGTGGTTTATATATATATATATATATATATATATATATATATGTGTGTGTGTGTGTGTGTGTATGTGTGTGTGTATGTGTGTGTGTGGCCGTGTGGTACCGCCATAAAATAAGCCACCCCTTACATTCACGTGGGTATTGTAAGAGATTCTACTAAGAGAGGACAAGAGATGAGCAATAGCGTCCCTCTTAAAACATCTCTAAAGCCCAACTGCGGTCTCCAATATGTTCAGTTCTGCTGAAGCTGAATACTTACGTTCAGCAGTGGACAGTTAAAGGCTGATATGATGATGATAATGCTTGTTTGCCAACTTTGTGGTAAAGTGGTAAACAAGCACCTTTGTGGTATATTTTTATATACTCGTATACCACAAAGGTGACACACACACAGCACACCGGCAATGCCGCTGGTGTTGTGGGTGATCATGAGCAGCGGTAGTCACTTGCCATCAGGTGAACCGCATGCTCGTTCGCCCCCTTACAATACCCCTTACAATAGTAAAAAAAAGCACACAACCCATCTGATGGTAAACGATCAATGCAGTCTATTGACGCTTGCAACTAGGGGTGTCACTTACGCATTGCCGACTCTGAAGTGATCAATTTAATTAGTTTTTCTACTTCTAACGCACACATTCGAAGCCGGGCGAGGCTCTAGTTTTTAATACGATTTAATTACATTTAATTGAATTCCCCAATCTCTATTTCGTGAAGTTATCACTGGTATTAGTAACGATACTAATGAAATGAACTACGGGTCAATGATAGTATGTCTATAGTTAACGGTCAGTCGACCAGAGCAATGGGTGAACTAAGCCTTATTCCATTTTGTATCGGCCGATCTCGTGAATATCGGTTCTATTTGATTCTAACACGGAATTAGTATTTGGCGTGGAACAGTCTTGTGAGTGGCCTACTCGAAACCGTATAACCGTATGAATTGTATCCTAGTCCTGTGAATTGAGGAGAGAGGGGTTGTTAGCAATGGTGTTTAACAGCCTCATAACTAACAAAATATCTCATCAGGTTGATCTCCATAAGAATTCGTCACGATGGGCCAAGTGACTTGCTTACCGATCAATTCTTACTGCCCCGCCAGAGTATACCGACAACGTAGGTTACCATGCCATTCTTACTCATTTATAAAGATTTGCCTGCCTCTTATAATATATTTTGGATTTATACTAAGCATATTGATAAATATAAATTACAGATAACTATACATATAGAGAATATTTACTATTCCCTCTCTAACATAATACATCAGTCTAATTTGTCTGTCTTAGGGGGGAAAGGGGTTGTTAGCAATGGAATGTGACAGCCTCATTGCTAGCAATATGCCCTATCAGGTCGACCTCCACGTGGTTCCTCTGGAAACCATCGTGAACAATTCTTGTTGAATTCGTCACGATGGGCTAACTGACCTACTTCATACTCACCTATCATCCTTCACTGGTGCCCCGCCGGTGTATACCGACAGCGCGGGTAGGGTTACCATTCCATTAACAACCATAAAAAAAGATTGTCTGTCTTTTCCGATCAGGCATATATCTTGGATTTATAGTAGGTACACCGGTAACCAAATAGTACCTGCCTTTATCGAACATACATACTGTAATTGGTTGCGTTCCAATTCCTTTTACATTACTTTTACTTGCTGAACCTAAAAAGTACGTATATTTGCACCTACTCCATAACACTTGTGATAATTACAGACGCTATTATAAAAGTACGTAATAAATACTTTAATCACTGAACTTATAAAATTTATTAAATAAAAACAAAGAAAAAAAATTTACACGTAATAATTGTAATGAATGTTTCGAAATGTTGATAATTCATGTAAATAAAAATATATGACTCTGGACTAAGCGACATTAAAAAAAAAATTTCAAATTATCAATCAATACAGATCATCGTAACGCATTTATGCTCATCTGTGTAAATTGACAGATACCGTCACATATTTAAAAAGAAAAACTACCTACATTAAAATATATCATTGTAATGTCACGACAAAAGTTACAAATGTTTGATTAATCTTTTATTTCTTTGTTTAATATATTTGTAATTTCATAATAAGTAGCACAATAATGCAATAAGAAGTTTCTCAAACCGTAAGTAAGTACATAATCCTCTATTCAATAATGTACCGCCTATTTATTTCTCGATTTACCCAATGGTTGACTGGTTAAGAACATCATACGGTGTTAAGTCCGCCAAATGTACATAGAATTGTACTGAGCATTAAAGTTTAAATAAACAAAAATAAATAAATGAATAAATCTCTAGTAGTAATATTGTTGTCAATATTTGACTACACAATAACTAAAATTAATATTTTTTATTAATACCATAGCCATAGATATAATAACAAATATGTTTTCAGGGATACCATGGCTATAAAGTCATTACGAAGTATCTCAAGAGGAAAATATGAAAATAATCCAAACACGAATGAGATTAATGATAAAGATATATCCAATTATTTTAATCATCTAATTAAATCAAAATTAGAAAAAGAAAAAGCAACAAAGAGCAAAATTAAAGAGCAAACTGCTGTCACGTCTATTGGTATTTCTTTAATTCTATTATTTAAATTGCTGCATTTACACCTTCAAATACTATGGCAGCGTATTATGTACAAAATATTAATTGTCCTCACAAAATGAATCCATGGAATCCATTAATAGCTGCTGGTCATATGCCAGCACCATATTACGGATTACGTTTAGCTCCTGTACCTGTTATTGTAGATCCTCAAGTTATAGCTATGCCTGTATATACTTACACTAATGCGATCAGACCGTATCCAACCACAGATGTTTTAAACTTATCCTCTCACAGTTACAATGAATCGATAAGGGAGCATTCTGAAGAACAAGTTGTTCCTACAACTATATTGAATTATTTACAAGATGATATTAATTATATAAGACCAGAAGAAAATACTAATATAGATAAATCGATATTTAATAGGAACACAAAGAAAAATTATGTTGTCACCGATACCTTGGAGGACTATTTGTCACTACCGAGAGAATTATTTCCGCCAGCAAGAACGATTATGATTGATCCAAATCCTGTTATTGATGTTTTTTGTAAAGTGAAAAATATTATCAATCACGCTCCGTGGTTGCTAGATTTGGAATTCGGTATACCCAAAGCGCCAATTACCCGTCCATTACCATTATATAACGTTAAATTTAGTAGCATTAACTGTAAGAATACTCCCGATGCGATACATCCAGGATTCGAAATGTGTTGTCCAGAATTAAAAAAAATAATACAATTTTGTTACGATTGTGTCATATCCGCCTGGTATAGAGGATACGTTGAATTGAAACATGATAAGTCTGTTGAAAACTTTCAATCGTGGTTATTATTGCCGATGCAAGTGCTCGGAATGTGTTGGCCGTAAGTTTTAAAAATAGCTCATAACGCTCTCTGGTCTCAAAGTAAGCAGAGCTTGAACAAGTACTGGAGAGCATTTTTTGTGAATACTCGTACATACATATAATATTTAAATTTTCCAAATCAATACAAGCATTTGTATACAAAATAAATAGGCCATACACCAGTCATAATATTATTTAGTTAGTTATTTATCAAATTAAGTTACAATAGTTTTTGCTTAAGTGTTATGTACATATATATGAAATAATGTAAATACCTAGATTATATTTTATTGTTATTAAATTTGCATGATTAATATAAATAAATTATATTGTTTTATAATAGGTTTAATTTTATTTTAACAAGTTAAATAATAAAAGTATTTTAAAATACTTACATATTACCCTTTGTTTGTATGAGTAATTCTGCTCCACTGGAAATTACAAGGTACCTTAATAATTCCTTAATTTTCAGGTGTATCTTCAGATTTTGTAATATGGTGTCTCAATATATTGTGTTTGCATGGCTGTGTTTTGGTTTGAAGAGTGGGATATGGCAGTGAATTTACAGGATACAGCGGTATAATACCTTTGTCCTCAAGAATGGTAATGCAAGGGTGATATTATGGGCGAAACATTATACTCTGTTATGTCTACGGTACTATTCTTATTTATAGGTGACAGTTACCACTTTCCATCAGGTAGGCTGTCAGATTGTTTGCCATTCTATGTTGTATAATAATAATAATATATTCTATGATATCCATTATACTGTTTACGTTTAGTGGTTATGGTTACCATTTGCGGTCAATTGATTTATTTTTCGTTGTTATAGATTTTTTTTTATTCTTATTAAGCATACAAAGTCAATTCCGACATTTATTTTACCTGTTACTTTTATTTTATTCATTAAAACCTCTTTTATCTTTGTCATTCATTTAGGAAATAGATTTCCATTAAATTATATCTATCTGGTGCAGTTAGTGGTAATTTACCTCATTTTCCCAGACCTCACTACTGACCTAAATTTAGGGTCCCTAATGGGTTGGCCGGAATTTGTGGTCTGGCTACCCGTTGGGCCTTTAATTCATGGCTATAGACCTAATTCATTGACCGCAATTATTCATGAGATAGATAGTATTTAATGAGTCCGTAAATCGGTGTAATCAAAACGTTTAATTTAAAAGTATTTTGTTTTGACATCTTTTATAAATATTTCTTTAATTTATACTTTTGTATATACACTTTTAATATAGATATTAGGTTATAACAAAAATGTGCACAGACAGCAAACTTGAGTACCCGAAAGAAGAAAGTATCTACAGGGTTTGTATATAAAGCATAACATATATTGTGCAAAAATAATATGATAAATAATAAATTAGTAGTAATTTAGTAACAGTGTATAGATAAATAAAGTTCAATTTAAATTTTAATTAAAATTAAATTAACTATTATACATATAAGTAACTCAACCGTCAATTTTATTGTAAAATCTTTTGGTTTGAGCTTTGGAGACATGAACCATCTACGCCATTCTGGTATCATTTAAGAGTGAATTCCAAAGTCTAGTAGATTCTACTGCAAAGGATTTAGTGGAAGAATAAGACTTATAAATACGTTATTGTTAAATAAAACTATTGTGACTCATATGTATACATATTTAATTGTATTGGCTTTCCTCGCTTTTTAAAATTCGAAGATGCCTGTGTATCGAACCCGATAGGAGCCCCTATTCATGAATATGTTTGTTCACGACTATGTCGTGACACACGACGTTAATAAAGCCGATATAAATGATTATTCCTAATAATTATTTCATCTGGATGAGCTAAAATTATTATTTTATTTATTTAAGAGCATGTATAATCAAATCTCGTTCACATGAAATTAGAACTTATGAAATAGTAACATTAAATTTTGAAGAGGAAATAATAATAAAAACAAGTCAGTTATTTCAATATTTAATCATTAACAAACTTCTGTGCAAACGAACAATATGAAGTCAACATCATCATAAACTATTCATTCAAACAAAATCGCTATAGAATATACAACAGTCAAACATCACTTCAGTGAGATTGTTTTTATCATTACTAAATTCACGATATAGATGTATGATTTGGTAATTACTGTCACATACTGTCACAGCACCGGTCGATAAATTACAATTTTACAATAATGTCATAGAGGTTGGCAAAGTAAAGCTTACAAAAATTCGAATAACAAAAGTACCGCGTTGCAAGAAAGGAACTTACAATACCTAATTACAAATGTCTCAAGTATTTACAATACAAAACAACATATGAATCAAACAGCTATATAACATATTAATAATACTGTAAAATAAGATACAAATCTTAATTAAATAAGGCAAGACAAGAAAATACGTATATAGTATTTACAGAAAAAAAAAAAAATTAACGCACTACTTAAATAATTATTTCTATATAGTAACAACTTAGTTTACAAACAATATTATTAAAGACCTTATCTTATAGACAATTCTGTTTATTTACATAAAATGTCTTGGACGTACTTTAAAGCGATTAAGGCAGAAATATATAACGCTGCATTAAATCATAAAACCTTGGTAATAAGCAGTCATTGTGAAGGCGTTTATTATTGTTCAAGCCGTGTGAATTTACCGTTGTGAAGCTACATTGGGAATACAGAATTCCGCGTAATAGCGAGTTCTGTTTAGCTCTCGGTTGGACAATTTTATAAAAACGCCTCAGAAAACGTTGAATTAAATCAACATTTTTGAAGGTAACTTGCACTTAAAATCCTTTTAGTTCGTTTATTCGCATAACTCTTCCGTTACCGCTTTTGAATATCACTCGTCCACAGTTTAGGCACTTTCGCTTCGTAGACAAACACAATCACGTTTGGTATAATGTCCAGGAATTACGAGTTCACTGTTTGTAATATCCAAGGCACAAACTTGGAGATCCTTGTACAGACCCCTGGTAAGTTCGCCTCACCGCAACCAATTCCCCAACTGATGATGCCAGCCAAAAAGTACCTTTGATCTTTTCCTTTTACCTGGAAATGTATAAAATATTGATTCAAGAATCGATTTCAATGATAGTCTTAGGTATATATAACTAGATGGTAGTGGGAATGATTTTACAATACAATACATATAGTTAAGGAAAATTAATATTAAGGTCTTAACAGGAGCGAGAGAAACTAAAATAATATTTATTAGAATTTTTGTATGGCTTTATGTATATTTGTTCCCGCATTACGCGAAAACTGCTTTACCACATTGTATCTAGTTTTAACTGTTGTGTTGTTGAAGATCCAATTTAAAATCCTGGTGTATATTTTATCTTGATAATCTAGATGTGGGTACTTCCAAAACTCACGTGTACAGAATTGCGGGTAATAGCTTGTGTAAAAATAAATATAATAAAGTTACATTAATTTGGATTCGAAATAATGTAAAACGCATGGTTCATAAAACAGATGAATTAAAGGACCAGGTTCCTTAATTTATAATTAAAGTTAAGCCATTAAAGGGGAAGAAACCTAAATTATCTAGGGACTGTTCTATGTTGTGTTCTGAAATAGATGTTGCCTGATTGAGAGCCAAGCAATAACATGTGCTACATTATTTATTGTCTTCAAATGTTGGTAGCTGCACGCATACTCAATGATAGAGAAATTAAACAAAATAAACCTACTCAACTAACCAGTGATAGGTGTTTCGTTATCATACGTATTAATATTAAAATACTCTACATAGTATAGGCACCCCTTTCTTTCCCGTGGGTGTCACATGAGGCGACTAATGGAGGCCTGGGCATGAGCAGCAACGTCCATCGTAAAACATCTCCAAAACATAATTGCCGTTGTCAATCCACCTGCCAAGCGTAGCAACTACTGGCAAAACCCCCCAAGGCGGAGGCTTATGGTCAGCAGTAGACAGTTAAAGGCGGATAGAATGATGATGACTCCTACCATGACGAAGCCACCCCTTCCTTTCCAGTGGATGTTGTAAGAGGCGACTAAAAGAATTTAATATTCGAAGGAAGAGCATCAACGTCTCTCTTAAAACATCAACAAAGCCTAATTACGGTTGCCAATATGCCTGCCAAGCGTAGTAACTACTAGCAAAACCCCCTTTTGGGAGAGGCCTAGATTCAGCAGTGGACAATAAACGGTTGATATAATAAATAGTAATAAGTTAAAAACTTTGTTAACAAACACAGGGTTGCACTGTTACATATTTTCTCTTTGCCCTGGTCCTTATTTTTTATAATGATGATAAAGTATTTACCAGACGAAGACTCGACATATGTCTTCGGGTCTTTTTATTTGCATGTTGTTACAAATAAGTGACATAGAAGGTTCAGTCTTGTTTTTTAAAAAAGTACACCATGATGGGTTCTGGATTGACAATCTCTGTTTGTTTTCTGCCACCTATATGATGTTTCATACAGTATACGTGTATATCCATACGTACCTGCAAGGGACCTCCAGAATCTCCCTGGCAAGAGTCATGTCCACCCCGTTCATGTCCCGCGCACAAAAATATATCCGGAATAAACTCGTGTCGACCAGCTCGGAGGAACATTGACTTGCAACGTTCATTGGACACAATCGGAACTTGTACCTGGAATATCAAGGTTTTTTTAGGGTTGGCAACATGCACCATGACTTTGTGCTGCAGTTGTCCATAGGCTGCAGTGACCGTTTACCATCAGACGGACTGTATGCTAGTTTACTATATTCGTGGTGTAAAAAAAGATTATAAAGTGAAAAAAAAATGATATAATTTGGAATGGTAAACAAGCTAATAGAATACCTGGTATATGTATAAATACGTATAAGGATTTATATGTATATTGGTACATAATTTTAACCTACTGTAATAATTTGTAACTTTTTAACTATCTTTCAAAGACTGTATCTTTCTTATTGCCAAGAAACTGTCATGTACGAGTAGTTTGGTGAATTAACGTAATATTTATTTAGAAGTATCTTTGTCTTCTATCGTTTATTTTTATACAACAACCTTTTTGCCGTTTTCGATTTTATGTTATTGTGCTGAGTACTTTTGTTTTTTACTTCTTTTTATGTGAGTCATTTAAAAGAACACCGACTTCAATTGTGGCAAGACACTTTTCATTTTCATTTAAAAACCTCATTACTGAACCGATTTTGTTGAAAATTCTATGGAATTAAAGAAAGAAATATTTATTTAGTACTTAATTTCACGCTTAATTACAAAAATATTTAACAATAAACAAAAATAAAAGCACTAAAATGATGTCACTCAGTTATATGCCCTAAGCTATAAAAATGGACCTCTCTGAAAGTGTATCCCTATAAATTAAGAATTTTCTAAATCCACTTAGGTACAAGTATCGGTCTTCTGAGATAACAAGCATACAAAAATAGAATCGAATTGAGAACCAGCGGATCTACCATGAAATGAAATTCCGAAATTTCGGACTCAATTTCGTGTTTTTGTTTATACTAAAACCGGACCAATAAATGGAGTTTAACATTTCGTTCGTCAAACATCCTATCATAAAAGCCAAAAGGAACAATATTTTAATATTTCCAAACGGCATGTATTATGTAATTTTAACATCAAATTTCTGTTTCGTTTGGCTCCGAAATTTCGGCAAACATTTCATGGCAGGACCTCTGTTCCTTTTTTGAAATCGGTTGACTACTGTTATTACTTTCACTTACCTCTTGTAAAATCGACGGCAATATGCCACCTTCAGAAAGCCTCCCCCAACCGGTAACAGTAGCGTTCTCTCCTACCAACAGGTCATCAGACGCCGGCAGACATATCGGCGAGATATGAGGAGCAAATTGTACGGGCGCCTCCAACTTCACAAGAGCTAAGTCGTATTCATAAGTGAAGAAATTGTACTTCGGATGGACCGCTTTGCGAGCCACTCCGCGCTCTACGAACGGATACTGCTCGGACACCGATGAGAAATCATATTCCCCGACACGTATTCTGATTTGTGATGTCAGGAGACTGGAATGAAATTGAATGAATGAATGAATTATAAAGATTGACAATCAAACATAATGAATTAATTACACTTAAACTTAATTTTTTTTTTATTATTATTATTTCAGCCGTTCATTTGATAAAATGACTTCCAGGAATGTTCACTTACTCATCAACACAGTGACCGGCTGTAGCTATCCAGCCTTCATTGATGATGGCACCACCACACCGGTGGGTGGATGAGAAACCGAAGAAGGAGGTCCGCCGCACTGAGACTTGCCATGGCCAGCGGCCGAAGCTGGAGTCTTTGCCGCCCATGATGCGCTGCTCAGGTCGAGGCCACATGGCGGTTACACCACATTCTGTAAATTGGAAATTAAACTTTAAATTTAATTTAATTTATGGGCAGTGCAAAATTATGGCATATACTAATATCATAGTAGTTTAGTCCATATTGGAATTTAAATAATGATGATATGGGGCATATTGAAAACTGTTTTAAAAAGGGAAATGACAAAATAAATTTATTTAACTTTATCACTTATTTAATGAGTTGTGCGAGAGTAAATTAGTTTGAATGGACTAAAAATGGGAAATTGCATATTACAGCAGTTCGAGATATCGCTGAATGTTAGAAATATTCAGTCACCCTATTTTTTTTTTTAATGAAAATTAAATAGTAACTCCGCTTGCACTATCGGTATATGCTAGCGGGGCATCAAAGAGAAGATAAATGAGGATAAAAGCAGATCAGTTGACCAATCGTGAATTCAACAAGAATTAATCACGAAGGTTTCCAGGGGGAAACAAGTGGACGTCGATATAATACGGTATGTTACTAGCAATAAGTCTATTAATTCCCATAACTAACAATATCTTTCTCCCAGGCCACCTTCTTTGTACGTCGCTTACTGGATGATGATTTTATGTGATTTACGAAGCACAAAGCAAAAAATTTAAAATTCATAAGTTTCACGTTGGAATTGGGTTTTGGAATACCCGGGCTGTAGTCACGCATCCTCCAACTACCTATATAATAGCTGAAGATATATAAGTCATTGTCATATCAGACGTTAGCTGTCAACTGCTGAATATAGGCCTCCCCTATAGAGTGCCATAAGAAAAGGTCCCGAGCCACCTGCATCCACTTACTCCTTGTAATTGTTTTGAAGTCGCCGCTCCATCTAGCAAAGTGTCCTACGATACCAGGATTGCATGTATAGGGTTGCCACTCGAGAACCTTCCTTCCCCATTGGTTTTCAGTTTATCAAACTATGTGACCAGCACACAATCATCGGCATCATCATATCAGCCTTTAACTGTCCACAGCTTGAACATAAGCCTCCCCATTGAGAGATTTTGCCAAAAATTACCACATTGCAGATTGCATTAGGCTTTGGAGATGTTTTAAGAAGCTTTCCGTTCTTTGCCCGTCCTTCGCTCTCCCTTAGTCGCCTCTTACGACACCCACGGGAAAGGGAAAAAGTGACCTATTCGATGCCGGAACCACACGGCCACAATATAAGTAATTAAATAGAAAATCAATATATACACTAACCCACACTGCTCGTCGCTGCTGTTGTCTGTATGGGGGGTGATGTGGAGTCGTCTGTCTTGTTTATCATGTTGATAGCTGGGTCCTTTGGTTTCACATAGTTCTTGTGGGGTTTACTAGTGGTTGTGGTGAACTTCTTGGTCGGTTTCGGCTTCCCGGCTGGCTTCTCCCAGGACGGTCGAGGTTTGGTTATGAATGACGGCTCAGTTGTTGCTTGCCAGTGAATCGTGTTCAGGTTACTTGGTCTCGACATGAATTGTGCTAGAAAATAGAAAATTTATAATGTTGGATATCGTCTTTTCTTCATTATATTTCGGAACTTTTTAGATATTTTTAAGGTTCCATACATCAAAAGCATTGGCGTATTTAAGGTTATTATCCAGGAGAGGCCTGGCCTTATAAAAAAGGTGAATAAGTACTTTCAGACATATCTTTGTGAAACTTTACTAATATCCGACGAATTCTGGGGTGGGTACAGCCGATCGAGTGGGCTGTGCCCACCCCAGAATTGGTCGGATATTAAGAATTAAAAGGAATTGAATTGGTAAAGGGATTGTTGGCAATGGAGTTTGACAGCCCCATTGCCAGCAATATGCCCTATTAGGTCGACCTCCAGTTGGTTCCCCTTGGAAACCATCGTGAACAATTCTTGTTGAATTCGTCACGATGGGCTAACTGACCTGCTTCATCCTCACCTATCATCCTTCACTGGTGCCCCGCCGGTGTAAACCGATAGCGCGGGTGGGGTATCCATTCCATTATCACTCATTAAATAAAAAAGAAAGCTCATTCGATTCCCCTTAATTACAATTATACTTAAAAGAACTAAAAGAGCATATATAGGCTCACTTTGTTGTCCGTCTGTCTGTCCGTCTATCAAGATTCTTTTTTTTTATGAACATGGGGAGGTATAAAGCTGAAATTAATATCAACGCTTTTAGTCTTCAACCCTTGAAGTTGTAAAAAAAATCAAACTTCCAAGTTAACGTATTTGCAAGGGGCCCCGTTTTTCATTGCCTAGAATCATGAAATTAGGCAAGAAGCGATTTCGTAGATCACTAATAAAGTGAAGAAATTCGAAAAGCGTAAATTTATAATTACCTCACAAAAAAATTATGTATAATATTAATATTTCAGTTATAATTTTTACGGAACTCGCACAATATTATGGAAAAATCAATAATAGCGACATCTCTTAGATTATTGTTGTACTAATGAAAATATTCAGCACACGTTAAGAAGCAAAATAACAATGATTACTACTATTTCTTAATAGTGCCATCTTTTAATCTATAGAAGAAGTAATAATACAAAATCCGTATACTGACCTGACGATATACTATTTTCGGCATGCTGTTCAGAGACGGCCATAGGTCGCGCGCCAGGCATTAAGCTAAGACTAGACGAAATCTTGTTGTGGGGACTAGTTTCCACTTCGCTCGGCCTATTTACATTTTGGTACTTATTTACACTGTTATAAGATATTTTATTAACTATATCACTATTTTGTTCGTTACTTGTATCTAAATTGCCTAATGAAGGTAAATTGATTTCTGGCGGCCGATAGCTGTAGGAGGCCGGCGCGCCATCTATCGGCTTAGTCATGAACGACGGCCGCTGTGTTTGCCAATTTGGCCGCGCTGTGCTTTGTGTTGATATTTCGGATGGCTGAGATGATGTACTTTGCGTACTACTAGATGGCGTATATGGTTTGTCCGTGACTGTAACTGAGCTGGATGTTTCTGAAATGAAGAGTAATGTACTTTAAAATAATTGTTGTAAACAATAATCTATTGACAATTTTTATATTTGACTGGCTTTTACACGTAACTTTGCCCACGAAATTGGGATATATCGAATCGAAAAAATATTTGAATATATAAAAAATGTATATTAAATTTAATGAAAATTGGTAAAGCTGTTAAAGATTAATTGTTAAAGTCGATTGCTTGGGTACCTCTGTCCCATTCGTATTTCAACCGTGAAGCAGTTGTGTTTGCATGGCTGTGTTTCGGTTTGAAGGGTGGGATATGCCGTGAATTTACAGGGTACAGAGGAATAACACCTGTGTCCTCAGGAATGGCAACGCATGGGGGGCATATCATGGGCAAAACAGAATACTCTGTTATGTCCATGGTACTGCTCATGTCTATAGGCGACGGTTACCACTTTCCATCAGGTGGGCCGTTAGCTTGTTTGCCATTCTAAGTTGTATAAAAAAAAGTCAAAAAGTATCAAACAAAGACATATTTTCATATAGTACATACATTAGTGAACAATAACATTTTAATTTTGAATGAGTAATTCATAAGATTGTGTTCTACAAAAAACCGACTTCAAAAAATATTTTGATTTAAAAACTAACTGATGATGATGATAAAATTTATATGGAACTAATGTGTAAGCATATCCTTTAAGATATAAAATAATTTTTCCAAATCGATTTATAACAAATGAAGTTAAAAGTTAACAAATATAAAAAGAATACAATTAAATTTAAAACCTTTTTTCTTTTTTTTTAAATTAGCAATAACTAAGTTGATACTGAAGTTTATTTTTTAAAATAAAAATATATAAATACTTACTATCTAAATACTGTACGGACACAGACGTACGTTTTAGTGAGAAGGGTCCGATTGAAAAACGCTGTACAGAATAATCTTGTCGGCATATGCTAAACCGGACTTTTTGCCGTCAAGTTTTGATGTAGGTATATTAGATTTACTAGTTTGAAAAATTTACCTTTCGACAGTTCCAACCGACGGAATAATACCTATTATTGATGGGTTTTACAGCGGCATAGTACTTGTATTTACTCCTCAGGAATGGCAACACATGACGTGGGTTGCCATTCCCGAGGTTAAAATTTGTTTTGTTATGTCTATTGTACTGTTCATATCTACAAATAAGTCTCCATTTTGTCAGTTGTGCTACAGGTCATTTATTACTTGCAGTCGCAGTTTCATTAGAAAAAAAAATAATTACGGCAATAAACTTTCTTATTTTTGATTCCTTATTCTAAATCTGAAAAGTTATGGACCGACCTCTGGCAATGACACGTGTATTTTTATTATTTGTTCTAAATTTAAAAATCATATACCAACCTCCGACACTGACCGGCGTGTCCGGTAGTCGACAACACGAGCCGAACATAAAGCCGTCCACACACACGCCGGCGTGCGTGCCTCCCACACGGTTGCACTCCTGCACCCACATGCAAGCGCCGCGCGCACCGCCCGCCACGCACGACTTGCGGGACATTTGATAACCTGCAAAAAACGACTATTTATAATTCTCGATATTTAAAAGATTCTATAAGATGAAGTGACAGTAGTGCGAGTATTACAAAAAAGTAGGTTAAAATGAATTTATTTTTAATAGACAAAAATTTAATGCAGTATCAGTATACGCTGGCGGAGTACCAGTGAAGGATGATGGGTGATTTTAAAATCAAGTTAATTATCACATCGTAGCGAATTTTTGTAAAGGGAACCCATGTGAAAGTAGACTTAAAAGGTTATATTGCTATTATTACATGAGTAAGAAGTAGGATAAGATGAAATCACTTCCTATAACTGAATCTATTATATGACTTTAAGGTTACCATTTCAACTTCTTTTTAAGAAGGCGGTAATCGAGCAAAGGACGACGTAATAAACTAAATTCAATTTCAAGAACTTCCATAGATAGAAACATACTCTTCATTATTTCCTTCAAAAGATTACAATAGTAATCTAATTATAAATACAAAAAATTACAATATATATTTAGACTGCTAATTAATGCTGATACGCGCGTACTTCAACAAGGATTAATTAAAATCTGTAAAAGCTACGACTTTAAACATTTTATAGAATGTTCTTATCAATAATATCGAGTTTCGACTAATTTGAGAGCGCGAAATATCATTGAATAAGTACCTACATAATTTTATAATTAATGCCGTGTTAAATTAATTAATATGGAATCGTTGACTGAATTAATTGAAGATTATAAAGCTTGATAATAAATATTTATTAATTATAAATTTTAGTTGGTTTGGTCATTTGAACGAAAGAGATTTATGACGGGCATATGTCGACCAAATAGGCGACGTACTAAAGAAGTAAAAGAATTAAAAGTACCAGTAATCGGCGAGCGTGTATGAAAACATCGATGAATGTAGAAGAAGCAAAAGAGGTTTGTTTGAATCCAAGCATTTGGTGTTCTATTGTTTCTGCCTACCCTAATGGGAGACAGACGTGACAGATATGTATGTATGTATGTATATATATATATATATATATATATATATATATATATATATATATATATATATATATGTATATATATGTATAAATTTTAATTCTATCATGGAAATATAAAATACAACTTTTATACAAAAGAAACTGCTAATGTTTTAATATATTGAAGTTGATTTTGAGCAAATACTATACACTAAACTTAAAATTAAAATTTGATAGGTTAGCAAGACTTTTATGGTATAAACCAGAGGGAGACTTTGTACAAAAGTCGATTGCTTGGGTACCTCTGTCCCATTCGTGTTTCAACCGTGAAGCAGTTGTGTTTGCATTTTTGTTTTCGGTTTGAAGGGTGGGATATGGCGTGAATTTACTGGGTACAGAGGAATAACACCTGAGTCCTCCTATAGTCCTGTATAAAAAAAAACCATCAATAATTATATATAAAGTAGTTTTGACGGATTTTTACTAAAAAAGAATATATATACATACATAATTTACATGATATACATATAAAGTGAAAAGATTGCTCTCAGCAATAAGATCGCATTACTGTACTTATACAATTGTATCGTTATATTTGTTGTCTTGCTTATTTCCTATATTGTATAATGCAAATAAAGTATACTCATTCATTCATTCATATACTCGTTCTTAATATAGTATATAGGCATAACATTTAATTTTGTTTTCACTGCATTGGACGCTGTATAGGATGACCCGCCATTAGACGGAATGATGACGTCAAATACATTGCAGGGAGTCAATCCCATCGCTAGCAATATACCCAACTAGGTCGACCTCCTCGCGGTTCTCCCTAGAAACTATCATGGTTAATTCCTGATGAATTCATCATGATGGGCTAACTGGCCTGTTTTCATTCTCATCTATCACCCTTCACTGGTGCTCCGCCAGCGTATCCCGTTAGCGCAGGCGGGGTTACCATACCATTTTCACCCATAAAAAAAAAGTACTTGTGACTGATTTTGCTAATCAATAGTACTTTTGACTGATTAAGAGTTTTGATTGCAACATATACAAACTATGGTGCAGAATCTATTTGTAAATATGCAGCATTTTTTTTTTATTGCACGACATATGACCGCGCCATCTTGACCGATAGAGCCAATATGTGCCAAGAACTTAAATCATCTATTACTAATCCATCGATACAACAAATAATATATTATATATGATAGGAAACAAGTTACATTACTCGTCTCAGTGATCTATTCAACCGCGAAATTGAACAAATTCCTCCAATAACATGCACACGTTTCCGCACAGACGGATAGACTTATGAGAATAATGATAAGATTGATTATTCATACGTATTTCATTGGCATATATTCTGTTGACGATGCTCATTACTTCAGACATTCTGTGAGATATGATGGATCATTATATGAAAGAGTATGGAACATATAGATTTTAAACAATATACCAGAGGGAGACTGTACAAAAGTCGATTGCTTGGGTACCTCTGTCCCATTCGTGTTTCAACCGTGAAGCAGCTGTGTTTGCATGGCTGTGTTTCGGTTTGAAGGGTGGGATATGCCGTGAATTTACTGGGTACAGAGGAATAACATCTGAGTCCTCAGGAATGGCAACGCATGGGGGTTATCATGGGCGAAACAGTATACTCTGTTATGTCTATGGTACTGCTCAAGTCTATAGGCGACGGTTACCACTTTCCATGAAGTGGGCCGTCAGCTTGTTTGCCATTCTAAGTCGTATAAAAAAAATGTAATATTTTTTTCCAGAGACTTCGTTCGTGTGACCGGGATAAAAAACAACCTATATTCTTCTCCATCCTATATAACACGTGTATACCAAATTTCATAGTGATTGATTAAGCTATAAAGACCTCAAAAGACAATAAAAAAACTAATTTTGACATTAATAATATTAGTATGAATAAATTAAGTATTTTATTAACGCCTGCAATTTATTAAAAAAAAAAAAAAAAACTATTTATTAATGTACTTACGACCGGTCCCGACTTCACACGGTTTTTTTTTTATAAATAAAATACAGCCTATGACACACACACACAGATAATGTAACTTTCTATGTGTGAAAGGATTTTTAAAATAAATTATTTCATGAGTTTATTATAAACAAAAAAAAATATTTCTTCGTCGTGATATCAGTTTATACAATATTTTAATTAAGATGTATTTGCACATACATAATGCTGTTGTTGTTGTATCAGGCACTGTCCACTGCTGCCACTGTTTTGCCAGTAGTTGCCACGCTTGACAAGCGAATTGGCAACTGCATTTCTGCTTTGGGTGATGTTTTAAGAAGAGTGCTAATGCCCAATACTCCACCATAAGCTCCCTTAGTCGCCTCTTACGACACCCACGGGAAAGGAAGAGATTGCCTATTCTATGCCGGGACCTACATACATAATAATACATTCTAATTAAGCTTTATTAAATACTGACAGATTACTTTATAACGTAATACATATTTTATTATAAAATAATACAATAAAATTGTTCCTCGACAATATTTGTACTTGGGAGATATTTAAAAAAAAATAATATGACATGTTTTAATAGGAATAATAGGAGACAAAATAATATTTTTAGAAATTGTGTCTATCTGTCTGTCTGTCTGTTTCTTTCGGTATCACGCAGAAACTACTGCACCAAATTAATTATAAGTTCTACATTTATGTATCTAAAGATCTAACTTAAGAATTGGTGTATGTTGCATCTTGATATTCTATCTAGAAGTAATCTATTTAAATAGATTTCCTATTTTGAAATCCAAGCTTACGAAGTAACGAGCAAAAAGCTAGTCTTCGCTACGTATGAATTCTCTTAACATACCAGAAACAGTGCAATAATCGTTTACCCTTATACCTTACAAATAATGCGCATTCCTGACTCTATCTACATACATAATGTCTATTTTCTGTTTCAATACAAAACTGTTATTTACTATGCCATCAACTATACCTTTCAGCCTTTGGAATGCAAAGGAACTAAATACATACATAAATATATATATGAATATTATTACTATAATCACACATGCATTTTATTAACCTCAACACAATCATAACATTGAACGTAAAACCTTTTGAATGATAATTTCTGAATAGATGAAGTTTATGAATTATTTAAACTTGTATATATACTTATATTGTTATTTATATAAGTGGCAGTTTGTAATATAAATAGTTTGGCTGGTTCAGATTTGTGTTTGCAAAACATTTATTTATTTACTTAACAAATATAAAATAACGATTAGAAAATTGAAGTGAAATACAGTAGCATTAAGTAAAGATCAAAATATATACATAAAGATACAAAAGGCAATCTCATCGCTAGGGCAACCTCTTATAGACAACCTTTGGTTAAAGGAGGACAACAAAAAACAAAAACATACGAATTGAGAACTCGTCCTTTTTGAAGTGTTCAAATCGGTTTCGAACTGACGGAGTTAGAAGATAAGAAACATAAAAAAAATACAACAAAATACAATTCCTCCTTTTTTTCAAGTCGATTGAAAATGGGCTTACAACAAATATAAAAAAGCGAGTACGTGACAAAATTAATATTAAACCAAAACCTGGCTATAGATTATAAAAGAAATAATTATCAAAATCGGTCTCTAATTTATTACTAATAAGAGGGAGGGATTATTACTAATGGCAACTAGCAATCCCAATGCAATATTTCACGCGCACAGAGCCACGGAATAAAGCTAGTGTCACAATAAACAATAGCACTAATTCATGATAAAGTCACAAATAAAATGAGTACCATAATAAATATTCAAAATCCACATCAGATTTCGAAGCGACATGGCATTATCGAATAACAACGAAGCAGTGCCTCAGGTAGTAACCACTGAAAGGACACAGTTATGGACTTCAAACTTTTAGGGTCTCATTAAAAATACATTTAGTTTGTGATGTAGGTAGGGTAGCTTCTCACTATTTGGAGTTTTATGTATTTAAATATAGCTTATGGTGGAGGGATGGGCAGCGGCGTCTCTATTAAAACAACACT